TAGTCACCTACTGGAAGGCAGTGGCCAAGTGACGTTATAACCAAACATTGTGTGGCTTTAAATGAGTATGTTCTCTAATAGATCAGTGATGTAATAATGAAATTATGTTAACCAGGATGACGTTAAGTTAGGAGAACCTGTAGTTAGTTTGTAGTGTACGTTTTAATTCCAGGGAAGTCAACAGGATGTAATTATAGCCTTAACTTAAGCAAGTACTTAAAAGGCTTTCCTCTGGCCCTATTTCAGATGATTTGTGCCCTTCATAACATATCCTAATCGAAGAAGAGTCTGTTTCCTTTGGTCAGGGAAGCAGTTGACATCCTAGGGCCTTTCTGTGAGTCCTCTGCCTTTTAATCAAGGCTGAGTGTGATAGAATCAATGGGGGTGTTCCAACAACAGTGAATTGCCTCATGGTGGTCATTTAGGGTCACAGTAATGTCCACTGAAGTCTAATGGAAGGTTCCTCTAGACTTCGATGAGTTGCGTTAAGACCATAAACTGTGGGTGCCTGTCTACACTGCCTTTGGACTACACCGGGGAGTACTGCAGTGAAGCACAATATACCACATTTACCCAAATCTAAGATGACTCTGAATTTAAGATGAACTAATGATTAGATCCTAAACGTGGAAAATCTATAAATGTGTTGTTTCCATGTATAAAATTTAATTACTGGAGGGTTGTCTTTAATTCATTCCCTCCACCGCTGCAGGGGTCAGGCAGTGGGGTGACAGGTGGTGTGGGGAGGTGAAGTAGCTTGCCTGTAAGCTTGTGCCTAACCTCTGCCTGTTCCCTACTCCCTGCAGCCTTGGGCTCCCTTTCCTCCTCTCTGCCTCTGGCTCCCCCTCCTGCCTGTCCTCCCAGCCTCTGCTCCCTCCACACCCACAGTCTCTTCTCCCTCCTTCCCTGCCTTACTCTTTCTCTGCTCTGGCAGGCTCTATCCTTATCCTACCCAGGGGCATGAAGCACGGCCCCAGCCCAGCCCCTGTAGCAGCTTGCGGGCTGTGTGCCACTGCTATGAGGCGGGGTTGGGGTTGTGCTCAGTGCCCGAGGTTAGAATGGATACAGAGCTTGCTCGCATGGAGCAACAGTAAGGGGGGGAAAGACAAGGGGCAGATGCGGGAGAAGAGGCTGCATGGTGGGGATAAGGAGGGGGAAGAGACTGCAAGGCAATGGTGGGATACAGAGGTGGGGGGGGAGCAGGCAGCAGCTGTAGTTATGGCTCCAACCCTGGTAGCTGTCTGCTTTCCCCACCCCACTGCCCTCATACTCAATTCTAAGACCAGGGCCTTCCCCCCCATGTTAAATGGGGAATCAGGAAAGTACAGTACTTGTTCCAAGTGCACCACCCCCAAAATGGATGCCAAGTCATTGCTTTGGTGCATGTTCAATACAGTTCCACCTCCCTACCCCTGGAAGCATTCCTTCCCCCATGGTGAATGGTCTTCCTTTTCACAACTTCTACCTGTGGCTATTTGTCCACAGTCAGTTCCAGCTTCCTTTAAGAGACTGCCCTGCCCTCCTTGCTTCTGGAAACCCTTCCCATTCCATTAGTTAGCATGCTGTACAAATGAGTACACATACCATCAGGGAACACTGTGCCATCCTCTGACCAATTTCATAAGCATTATGGTAATTAAAGAAAACAACATTTTGAGATTCTCTTACACATTTTATCTGAATATTTCAAATATTTATGAATTAATGAAATAACCTTGCACATGCTCAGTCAAAAAAATGCAACTCATTTCAGTGAGAGGAAAATCCAGGTACAAAGCAGGTAAATGTGACAGCTGAAAATTATGCTTGTGTAATAAAGGTACTTGCTGAAGGCTCTATGAAGATTAGACCAAGTATTTTTTTGTCATTTGTTCAGATATTAAGCTATATGTTGTTGCTAAGAGCCTAATTAGAGTCAAAGATGTAGAAAGGCCTTGCATGAAGTAAGGCCTAGTAAATTTAGTAAAGTCTTATAGAAGTAATGGTAGGCCCTGTGGCATAGTTAAAATTAACCTCATCAGAAGAATGCAAGACTTGTATTGCTATTGGTCAGTCCTAAGAATAATTATAATGGGAGAATCTGGATGGCTGTAAGTTATCAGCCTAGCTCAGAAATTGTAAATTGGCCAGCACATCTGAAAATCATTTAGAAGGAAGATGCAGCTCTGTAAAAAAAAAAAAAACTCCTAATTTAAGATTAGCTGCTGGCCTGGATTCAGTGGGCCTGTGGATCTCAAGGATCCCAAGGGACTGAATACCAGGGTCCTTCCCGGTACCCCTCGGACAGCGCTGATCAGGGACGCCCGACTTCACTGAGCTTCGCGGAAAGAGAAACTTGTCATATATCAGGCATCAGAGGAGAAGGCTGATAAGTTCCCAATGCAAATTATTATCGTCTGTCCTGGTTTTGTTATTTACATGTAGTTGTGTGTTTGTTAAGTCAACAAACCTTTCTTACCTTTCTACCCCCGACCACACTCTCAATCCCAAACCGTCTGCAGGTGGCTGGGACAGAAAAAGCCCAAACATGAAGTAGTACTCTCAGATCTTGAGTGCTTAACCTGAGAAACCCATGGTGGGCTGATTTTCAGAGGTACTGATCACAACTGTAGCTGAAGCCAAAGGGAAACATCAGGGCTTCCGATGGTCAGGATCAAGTTGTCTATAAACTGGGTATCTGAGAAACAAAGACACCTGAAAGTCCATGCTAGCTACAATTATGGTCCCAAGCTACACACTGAGCTATGACATGGAGAAAAGAGACCTTTCTCTGTATTTCAGTGGTACCCAACAGACTGCCTAGCTAATATTTCTAAGTTTAGTTAGCAACCTATTTCTTTTGTCATTTCCATCATGTACTTTTCCTTTAACTGGAACTTAAAGTGAAAGAAAAGGGACAGAGCTACTTTATCTATCCATTTATTAATTAGATTTTTTATTGCAACAGTAGAAAATAGATTATTTTAAAACAAAATATGGCAAATGTTAAGGTAAATATTACTGTCTTGAACTACACCTCAAGCTACACACTATTTTATAAACCATATTTATCTGTTTACACACTCACACACAAATCAATATACAGATACATTCAATCATTATCAATAAATATTTCACTATTAGAGAAGCAGATTGAAAACTCCAGAGAAGCAGATTGAAAACTCAGCCTCATTTTCAAATATGTTAATCCTGATTTTCACTCAGTAAATAAATAACACTTACATCTCTGCCACTGTGGAATGTCCAACTTTGAGCACAAATAGATAAACACATTTCCATGAATTATCTCCACTCAATAATGCTTATTAACCACATTCAAGTGGGATTATAAGCATTACTTTTACCATCGCTACACAGAAAGACCACAAACAAAAGTCCACCCAATATTTTGGCTAAGATATTAGAAAATGTGACACCTTTTGCCAGAAAATGTTTCATTATAAGGCTTTAGAATTATAGGATCCTATAACTCATCCCTTTTACATTCTTCTTCAATATATGTAATCATAAGAACTGCCATTTACTGGGTCAGACCACAGGCCCATCTTGCCCAGCATCCTGTGTCACAGTGGCAGAGTAATTGCTGAAAGGGAGAGGGAATTGGGAATGACCAGGGTTTTTTTTCCCCTCTGTTTTTCTCTCCTTTGCAGCCTCCAGCATTATAGGTATATACATAATCCATGAAGCATTTCACAAACAGAAACAGCTTTCATTTATAGCATCTCCCACAGACCAGTGAGAAACATGGGAGTAGAGACCAATTATCCAGCCTTCACTTTTCCTTGCCTTGCCATCTAATGTAAAAGGTTTCATTATTTAATGAAAATAATTTTAGCACAAGAAAATTAATTGCTTAGTTGTACATAACGCCCTCTGTGGCAAAAATTAGGCGCACAGCTATTCAACCTGATAGTTGTCCCTGGGGAGAGAAGAGGTTCATATGTAACTTGTACAATGTTGAACTGTAAGATGTATTGTTATACTTTCACTTCCAAAGCATCGAGATTACCTTAAAACCATCAACAAATATTTCCAGTTGCTCTAATGCAAATTTCCAGCAACAGCTATGTGAACAACTGATGTTTCCATTTTAATAGCAGAAACAAAACAAAACCAACCTCCACCCCAAAATAAAAATAAAAAATAATAATTTTATAGCTGAATTTCAGAAGAAAACGTTGGCCTGGAACAAAAATTTGAAATATTTCATTTAAAAAAAGATGCAAACAAAATGCTTTCAATTTTTCAAAATTCTCTTTCCCCCTTTTTTCCAGATCAAAACTATTCATTGAATTTATACAGAATTTGCAAAACAGATCAGCTGAGCCCAACTTGCATTTTTCAGGAAATAAACCATTTGTCTAAATATTTTGCCTAGCTCTGTTTCCAGCCACACATCCTCCAAAGAGAGGGTCACAGCAGTTTTCATTGCAGCAGTGCATATGAAACTGAGGGCCCAGATCTTGCACAGATGAGCCTTCTCCAGGTGGTCTTCTCCTGGAACATTACCACATGCATGCCAACAAAGTGAATGGAGATAGATAGATGCATAGCTCATTTTTGTACCAGGAGCTAACGTAAGATGTTCCAAAGAGCATCACTAGAAATAGCAACTGTAACTGCCAAGTGCAGCTTGAGTTAATCTGCTTGTTTTTGGGGTCAGGCAATTTCACAGTTAAGGGTACGAAATGAACTCAGTCTGGCCTGGAGGGAATCTAGGAGGCACGTTTTTTAACCAGGAACACATTTGCATCCCAAAGCAGGACCCTGGTGTCAAGGAGCATCCTCCATACATGTTAGCTCAAAGTTTCTCAAGCAGCCATCATCCAACTTGTATAATTTACTGGGCTGGTCGAGCTGTGAGATTCAATAGAGGCCATTGTGGTGCTGCCACATTCAGGACAAAATAGGCCCTAAGATTTTGCCCCATCTCATCTTCAAAGCAATAAAGGAGGGTGATCATTTTGAAAACTGAAATCTAGTGCTCCTTCTGGACAAATTTAACACTTTGGGAGAGCTTCAAGAGATCAGACCCAAAGGGGAAAGAGTTTCTCACCATTCTTATGGTGTGTTGTGAGGCACCAGCAGGATCTTCCGGCTTCATACCGTCTCACAGACTTTGTGGCCCATTGCTCTTAATAATTAGTGATTCCTTTCCTCCTACCAGCATGCCTTCTACCTTTCCTAGGCTGACTGCTCTTCAACCCTCTGCTAATTTCTACCAGGCACTGGGCATGTACCTTGCCAACACGGCAGGCTGATTCAACAGAAAAGAACACGTGCACTTGAGGTAACATCTACTTATTAGTGGCACCCAAGTGCGTGGGAGCCTCACGCATTCACATTGACTGGATTTACGTAGATGAGAAAGGATACTGAAATGCAGACTTCCTTGTGATTTTTAGAACAAGAATACAAAGTCATTTACTGTTCTCGCATTGCCATGGAAACACCCTTCTCCCTCAGCTCATTTATGTTAGGTATCAATTACTCCAAAGATCCTAGGTTCCACAGGATGATGCATGCCTATACGCCCTGCTTGTATTTACTTTATGAAATTAAATATCCCGTTTTTCAAATAAGGAGGAAATTGGAATGTCAAACTCACCTGATGCTGCAGGAAGGAAACATCCACTATCACTTTGTGACTAACAGACCATTTTAATTTTATAAAGTATACATACAGAGCTTAGTTTTATTAAAAAGGACAATCCTTGTAGATTGGATTGAACAGCTAGGGAAAGCCATGCCTGAGCATTCAAAAGAGAACCTTTGGTATCAGAAGCACGCAGCATCCTCCAACCACAGCACACTTGCTGCTCTGTTCTTTTGCTCACTGGCAAGTTTTGGCCAGTCACAGCAGGCCTACCAGTTAGTGCCTATGGGTCCTCCCCCTCATCTTCCCAGGATTCATCCACACTGGGCTTTCATGCTGATGAAATATTCAGAAATGAAGAAGGGAATTTATGTTTCAGACTTGACTCTCTGGATCGTAAATGTTTTCTGGGAGAGAATAAAATAAACCACACCCAACTTTCAATCTCTTGTACCACCTATGCAAGGGCATATACAAGTAGTACTGGCACCCCCAAGCCAGGAATACTGCTCCTGTATGTTCTACCAAGACCTTGGCTAGTGCTGCTGAGCAAACCCAAGGCTGTTGGAGAAATGGAATCCCAGTTCGACTGTGTCATCAGTTGTCTCTACCGGCATGTTACCATTTGTTAAGTGGGATAAGTAATTCCTCATTTCTTTTCTCGGCTTTTGCACATTCAAAGATACATTGCAAGCGCATGCCTCCAAGTGAGTAGCACTGTCCAGATGAGCAGGGTTTGTCTGGTAAACAGCCGGGTAGGAATTTGGATGATGGCGACTAGAAGAGACGTAGAATTCAGGTGCAACTGTGCTGGTTGCTTGGTTATGGAAAGGATCATTTGCCTTGCAACATGTCTGCAGGCAGCTATTTTTCTTGAATCCATGATGAATGCCTAATTTAGCAATTAGAGGTTTTCCAACATTAACCTCCTTCCTTTCATCCATTGTCTCTTCTATTCCTGGATACTCGTAGTGCAGACAAACTGTGAAGATCAAGTGTTCCTGTGAAAAGGGAAAATAAGGTTATTCCTCCCCAAAAGAAACTGTCATATAAGACCACAAGTATTCATATGATGTGGAACTAACACATTTTAGGTGGTGTAAGAGGAGATCTATAATCAGCATCATTGTTGACCACTGCTGTTAAATGAACACTACCCACACAGGACCATATCCTGCACGCATCTAAGATTCAGGGCACATTCACTGAAACTTCCTAGCTAGCAGCCACACTGACGTATTTTGTTGCAAATCACATTTTTTGTGAAAATCATGTAATTTTGTGATTTTCACAAAAAGTTCAAAACTGCAATTTAAACCAGGCGCTAAACAGATATGCCCAACTAGCTCAGAGAACTGGATTTATACACCTGTGGGTAGTAGCGTAAGAAGGCATTCTTAAGCTGAGCACTCTCCCACCCACGCTCCCACTGCAACATTTGAAAATTCTGGAAGCATCTGAGTTCTCTTGTGGCACCGAGCACTGGAAGAAAGATACGACAGATCACATACAGCACCGAAGGTCCAGGGTTTTCTTCTGATCATAGAAAATTAGGGTTGGAGAGGACCTCAGGAGGTCATTTAGTTCTACCTCCTGCTCAAAGCAGGACCAGCCCCAACTAGATCATCCCACCCAAGGCTTTGTCTAGTTGCATTTTAAAAACCTCCAAGGATGGAGAATCCAAAACCTCTCTGGGTAACTTGTTCCAGTGCTTCACTACCTTCCTGGTAAGAAAGTTTTTCCGAATATCTAACCTAAACTTCCCTTACTGCAGCTTGAGACCATTGCTCCTTGTTCTGTCATCTGAGAACAGTCCGGCTCCATCCTCTTTGGAACCCTCCTTCAGGGAGTTCAGGGTTGCGATTAAATCTCCTCTCGGTCTTCTCTTCTGCAGACTAAATAAGCCTAGTTCCTCATATTCCCAATTCCTCAGCCTCTCCTCATATATCATGTTCATTAGCTGCCTAACCAATTTGTCCACATAATTTCTGTAGTTGGGGGCCCAAAACTGGACACTACTCCAGATGTGGCCTCACCAGTGCCAAATAGAGGGGAATAATCACTTCCTTCAATCTGCTGGTAATGCTCCTACTAACGCAGCCCAGTACGCCATTAGCCTTCTGTGCAACAAGGGCACGTTTTTGGCTCATATTCAGCTTATTGTCCAATGTAACCCCCAGGTCCTTTTCTGCAGAGCTGCTGCCCAGCCAGTCAGCCCCCCGCCTGCAGCAGTACATGGGATTGTTCCATCCTAAGAGCAGGGCTTTGCACTTCTCCTTATTGAACCTCATGAGATTTCTTTTGGTCTAATCCTCCAATTTGTTGAGGTCTCTGAATCCTAGCTCTACCCTTCAGCATATCTACTACTGCTCCCAGCTTGGTGTCATCTGCAATCTTGCTGAGGGTGTACTCCATCCTATATTCCAGGTCACTGATGAAGATATTGAACAAAACCAGCCCCAGAACCAACCACATTGTGAAATGGCAGTGATTCTGCACTGTCATTTCACAATGCGAGAGCACCTGAGAAATCTAGAGACTCCAAGGTGCAAGCTGACTAGGAAATGATTTCTAATATTTTCACTTCCTGCCAGTGACTTCGTAACATACAGCTCTGCTTAAGGCAATACTGTTAGTAAACCAGAAAACATGACAACACATCCACTGATATGTATAGATGCTGCCAACTTCTCCGAAAAAATACAAGCCTCAATCTGCAAAGAACATTTCCTAGAGTTGCAATGAACAATGACTTGTGTAATGACATTATGACTTCATGACCATCAGCTCTGCCTTGACCACATTTTCAGTTTTCAGCCTCAGAACCAAATCACCGAAAGGTGCTCTTAGCCATTTTTGTTCTTTAAGCAGTTAGAATACAAGTTAATGCAAACGTCTTCCAAGTAGCCACAGCACTTATGTTTTATGCATAATGTAAATTGATCTCTTTGTGGTTGTGAAGCAAAGGGTGTAAATGCGTGAGAAATAAGAAAATTATTGAAACCTTTAGTTTCTGCAGTGAACTTAGTCTAGTGTAAAGGCAGTGTTTAGGCAGGTCTTTGGATACTAAATAGCTGCCAGTTTCTTCAGGCGTTCCCTTATTTGCCTCTTTGGGATCCACATCCAAGTCCTGTGGAAGTAAACAAGTGAGAATCAAACTGTGAGCATAACATTATGTTAGGCTGGAGGAGGAAGGGTAAGAGGATGTGAAGGAGCAGGGATTCACCAATATGATCACTGGATGCAATTTTTATATGCATTAGCAGCAGCAGCCAGATGGCTAACTTACATACAGAGAAATCATTGAAATAGGCAGGAAACACTTACAAGTGGGAAGTCTGTAACGTAGGCTTTGCAAACAATTATTTCAGGGGGTTTCTTTACTATTCTTGTGTAGATTATCATGACATTGGAAAATTCTGCTGCAAACCCCAGCTGAATTTGAACGCCACATTTAAATTCAAGGTACATGCTTTCTGGAAGTTCTGCAAATACATATTTTGGATAAATTCATTAAAAAGAAAAGCTCACTCTAACCAACCTTCAGGAAAGTTTAGCAAGTCTTCACCCTAAACTCACAGCATCTTCTTCCATGCTTATTATTAGCAGCAAACATTTATATTCTACTTTGGCCTTACTTGCTGGTGCTATAGCAAACACAGTGAACGCCCTTGTCAACCATCCTTGCCTTCATTCCAAACTGAGCATTACTAGAGTAACAACATCTATGGCAACTGGAACAACTTTTTTTGCTTCAACCCTCCAATGGCTTGAGCCAGCCAATTAGCTTAAGTTTTTGTCTACACACAAAAATTGCACTGCCTTAGTTCTGTTGATACCAATCAACAGGTATCAGTACAGAGCTGCCCCCAGGCCAGATGCAAATCTTTGACAGTTGTTTTCCTATAAATGAAGGAGGCCTACAATAAGAGGAAAACCATGACTATAGGAGTCTGCATAGTGACTATGAACCTAAAAACCCTGAGTCTATGATCAGGCCACATGTCAATTTTTTTAGTCACTGCATGAAACTGAGATTCTTGGGATGAAATTCTTAAACTACTGAAATACAGGACAGAAACTATAAAGACAAACATACAAGTTAGGTGCTCAATATTTATACTTATATGGACCAGGCACCTAATAAGCCTTTGCGATTGCAAAAAAGAGTAGGGAGTAGTTTGAAAAGCTTCTGTCTCTTTTCTAGTCATCTACTCACAAGTGTCACAACTACTCTCTAACCCAGAGGCCAGCAACATATGGCCTTTGGGCAGCCTATAGAGCCAATGGATCCAGTGCAGAGAGCCTAAGGGCTTTCCCTATGCCAGCATCCATACCATGCCCATGCTGTGGCTAAGCAGCAAGGAGTTGCATCAGGACCGGGCACCCTTGCTGCCGCTGCTTCTTCCCCCCCATCCCCTTGCCTTCCCCTGGCTGCAGCATGAGTGCAGCTTCCAGTTGGTGCGGGGCTGTGTTGGGGCCATGCAGCTGGAAGCTGTGTCCACACTGCTGCTACCTACTCTTCCCTCCCCCACTCCCTTCCCCCTTCCCTCTCCCACCCTCTGCCTCCCAGATGCAGCACAGCTTTCTCTGGCCCTGGTGCAGCTCCCCACTGGCTGGAAGCTGCACTCACACCACAGCTGGGAAGCTGAGAGAAGTGGTAGTGGAGCAGACACAGATCCCAGCTGCCTGGCCCTGGCACAGGGAAAGCCCCCCCCCCACTATTAATATGCCATGGAAGCCACCTGGCCTGGATCAGACTGGTGTTGGGTTGTTCTGGCCCATGGCTTGTAAAGGTTGCCAGCCACTGCCTTATCCTATTAGAAAGAAATAAGTGAATACTGTTTCATTAAAAAAAAAAAAAAAGAGAGTTAGCTACAGTATCTGGTATGCTCATGAAGTTACCATACAGGAGAAAAAGTCAGAATCTCACACATTTCTTTACCATCTTATCTGAGGTAAATACAAGCAAAAACTTCCAAGACCTGATCACTTGTGACAATTTAGAGGTAGATCTGAACTATGAGCTGCAGGCCCATTTCTATTCAGTTAATCACAACCTGTGAAGAAGGGAAAAGCACTGAGTGCAGCTAGCAAACTGGCATGTCCCTAAGTATTTTTAATCAAACCGTTTAACCAGTTTCAAGCAAGAAGAAATACTGAAATTCCATCCGGATGGAGAGACCTAGAAAACACTCTTTACTGTACCATGTGCTTTGGCCCACTGGAGGTTGCGTGCCAGGGACTCTGCAGAAGACACCGTTTGCTGAATGGGATCAGTTAACGCTCTCTTCTCGGATAAACTGCTGCGAATCTCCAAAGCCTGCTTGCCTTTGGTAAGGTGACACTTGCCCATATCTAAAGAGAAGATGTAAATAGTTTTCTAGGAATCAAAGCTGATGAAATTCTAATTAAAGCAGTTACATCACTGCAATGACATCAGGTTACTATGGTTATGATTGTGTCAGCATTTCCATGATAAATCTGCGTTTTCAGAAGGCGCATAGTGCTTGATTACTCAAATTCACTTCAGGCCAATGCACAGCACAAAAGATGTGCTGTGAGAACATTTTCTTAGCTATTTTTCAGCCTGATCCCACATTTAATCAAAAATATTTTCCATTTGTCTCAAGGACCTGGTTCTACAAGGTGCTGTAGCAGGTGACCGACATTAAGCATGCTAGTAGTGCCATTGAAGCATAGATTTCATAGACATTAGGGCTGGAAGGGACCTCGGAAGATCATTGAGTCCAGCCCCTGCCTGAATAGCAGGAAGTCAGCAGGAGTCATAGGATCCCAGCAAGATAAGCATCCAGTTTACGCTTGAAGCTGTTCAGTGTAGGTGCTTGAACCACCTCTGATGGCAGGCTGTTCCAGACCTTGGGGGCTCAGACAGTAAAGAAATTCTTCCTTATGTCCAGCCTGAAACGATCTTGCAGTAGTTTATAACCATTCGACCTCGTCATCCCTTGGGGCGCTCTGGTGAACAAACGTTCCCCCAGATACTGGTGGTCACCCCTGATAAACCTATAGGTGGCCATCAGATCGCCCCTGAGCCTGCGCTTTTCCAGGCTAAAGAGCCCCATGGCTCTCAGCCTGTCGTCGTAAGGTCTGTTTTCCTGACCTCTGATCATGCGCGTGGCTCTTCTCTGCACTCTCTCAAGCTTCTCCACATCCTTTTTGAATTGTGGAGCCCAAAACTGGATGCAGTACTCCAGCTGCGGCCTCACCAAGGCCGAGTACAAGGGGAGAATGACATCCTGGGATTTGCCTGAGAAGCATCTATGGATGCAAGCCAGCATTTTGGTTGCTTTACTAGCCGCAGCATCACATTGCAGGCTCATGTTCATCTTGTGGTCAATGATGACCCCCAAGTCTCTTTTTTCCGTAGTGCTAGCCAGTGTAGCACTGCTGAGCCTATAAGGATGCTGCAGGTTTTTCCTCCCAAGGTGGAGGACCTTGCATTTTTAAAGCAGCTTGAAGCAAGCTATGTTCTTCAGTACCTGGATGACTGGAGGCCTTTAAGTTCAACTGAAATAACCATGAATTATAAGCTGAACCCAACAGCCTATAGCTTCATTTGAATTAAAATCAAGGGTTGTTCATAGACTTGCTCTGGGAGACCGGGGGGGTGGGGGGGAGCTTTAATTAAATAAAGTAGCTGTGACAGCTGCTCTAATTAAAGCGCCCAGAGCAATTAAATCGAGTCTGCTCCACCACAGTGTAATTACAATGCATTGTTGTAGCCTCTGTGCACGTGTATAGGTAGTGAAAGTTTCTTAAATCACAAATGCATAAACCGTTGACTAATCAAGTTTGGGATTTAACATTGCATACAATATTGAATGTTTCTTTGGAACACAGCTTGTGCCAAAGTGATCAATACATCCAATTTGGAAACTAGCCTCTCATAAAAGTTAATAACTAATGGTTCTCATTCATACTGCACAATGTCACATTTTGGTTCAGATAACACATGGGTCACATCACAATTCAGCGAAACATCTTTCAGCAGAAATTACAAGCTTCATACTTTTATCCTTAGGGCTGGAAAGATTTGGGAAATCCCTCGGTGACAGCTTATAAATTCTGCTTGTATTGGGAACTCCCTCCATGAGTCTGTGTGAGACTCTGTATCAAATGTGCACTTTTTTGCCTTCTCTGAAGTCTTTTTTTTTTTTTTTTTACCACTTTGTTAGCCCTTGGAGCTGACAACAAGGGCAGTTGTTGGAAACATAGAATTGGAAGGGGTGTTCCCCCACCCAAAAAAAAGCACCTTCTGATATATCTGTATGCCTACATTCATCTTAAATCCTGGATTTTAAGACCATTACTTTTACCTTAATAGCCATCTATTGAGCTTGTTTGGGTTAAGATTTTCCTTTGAAAATGGCCTGAAAATTCACAAACCTTTTTGTGAAGTTTAATAACAGATGCTAAAACAGTTACCTATTGTTACATATTTTCTGGATATCTAGTTAAAGAAAGGTAAGCCAGGTGGAAGAATGCAATAGAAGCAAAGAAGCACTTATTGAAAAGTATCTAACAATTATTTTGGTGGCCCATATAACTTATACCTCCACTGACTGTAGATGATTGCTAACTATGCATCAAACATGCAACATGCCTACTCATACCATGCCTACTTACACAATTATTGCTCCTTTCCCCCTCTACATCAAACCACAAATAGGAGCTTTGTTCCTGAATTGTCTTAAGCTTAGAAACACATTTTCATCAGTCTGCCTTAACAGCATGCAGTTACGAAAACCACTCACTATGAAAGAGAAGTCTGACAGGGAAGCAGAAAGCAAGCTTTTGTAAACTGGAAGTTAGGAGTATGGTTAAAATGTAGGTTTGCATTCACCTTCGGCAACCTCATCAAGTAGAACAGTAATCTTCTTGTCTTCTAACAAACGCTCCTTCAAGAACTTCATGAAAATCCCATTAGCCAAGCCAGAATGCTGAATTTCAAATGCTTCTGCTCCTTGGCATCTTTAAAACATGAGAAATATCAGAGCAAAGACAAAGCATAATAACAATGAGTGGTAAGTAACAAGGCCTGCCTGAAGGTGTAAAGAATGCTATATAAAATAGGAACCTGAAGTATATGAAGGCTAGGTAGTGCGTACAGCCGCTATGGTCTCTGTGGGAAGGAAAGACATTTATAAAACCCCTTGTGTGAAGATCTTGGTCCACATCCTTCTTTGTCACTATGTCTTCAAAAGGGTGCTAACTAAATGCAAGCCTATTCTACGCTGCGCAACAGCCCAAATTCCTTCTACGTTTGGCCTGAACAGGTCCCTAGGTGACTAGATTTGGCTCATTGTGCATACGCAGAATGAAACAATTACAGCAACACAGACCTCTAGCTCCACCTATGTTCTGTTATAACCCAAATCTGTGATCATAGAAAAAAAACCCCATGTGGGATGGCTCTAACAGTGGTGCCTACCTTCTTCCTTCCTCAATCACCTAGTGGCCTACCTACTTGCCCAGGACATAGGAGACTTGGGTTCAGTTTGCAGCCCACGGGCAGTAGAATCCATATCTCTTGCTTTTCTGGACAGTACCCTAGCCCCCAGACCAGGGTAGGCAGGACTGACAGCATCCTCCACCCCTCCTGTTGAAGTTGGGGCCAAAACTGAAAGGTTCTTAGGGTGAGGACAACTCCAGGGAAGAGGGAACCACTCCTGTGATGTGGGTATTGCCCTGAGATAGACCAAACCCTAGGTTCTGACCCGAGTTCCCTCTCAGCTGTGCGATGTACACGGCCACACAGGCACGCCCAGCAGTGCAGCATGAGGGAATGCTGGTTCTGACCTCTCCGCCTGCCTCCAATGCTGCACTTTATCTAAAGACTATTTCATGCAGAATGGAAAAATGATTCTGCAGAGTGGAACAGGATCTGCACCTGGAGGTTCACTATGCTGCCCAATGAAAGACTGGGAGAACTATGTGCCTCCCTGGGGATTATTCTCTTTAAGAAGACATGTATTTGGGACAAGTTAAGTCTTTACACATGCACTGGGGTGGGGGGGACATTTTAATTACAGCAACTCTCAGAAGCTGCTCTGATTAAATCACCTGCATCATCTCATGTATTCAGTGTCCCTCACTTAAAAGTGGTGGCAGGGGCACTTTATCTAAAGCTTGCTCAATAAGCTGTAGTTAAGACACCCCTACTGCCATTTTGAAGTGCGGGGACTGAAGGTGCCGAGTCTGCTGTAGTATGCCAATTAGCATGCTCCAGCAGACTCATTTAATCAAGTCTGCTCCGATGCATGCTAATTAGAGTGCACTGGAGTAAGCATCGGCAAGTATAGGTGCCCTAAATGTCTAATAGGTGGAGTGAGACACGCTGAATCACAGGCCTGAGGTGAAGTCAAACCAAGTCTTATTAGAATCTAACCTCATCATATAACATCTCAGAAAACAGTTACCTGTTGACAGCTTCTTATTTAATGCATGAAAAACACCATAGCTAGGTGTACCACCATGAAACTGCTAATCCCGTAAACTTTAAATAACCTCTTAAGGTTTTTGAAAATACAGGAATGACTTTGTTCTTTGTGGTTGGTGAAGTAATAGCTTGTGGCCACTCAAGATGCCAGACCTCATTTTATTTATTTAAATAATACACACACACACACACAAAACTGGTTTGATATATATTTCATTGTTAAGCATGTATAGAGTTTATTTGCAAATTAAGTTTCTTTTGCCATTCAGTAAGAATGTGCAACAGGGCAGTTGGCATTTTTTCCTGTCCCCTCTCAGATATTTGCATCTTAGTTTTGCATGCTGGTGGCAGAGGTCTGATTAGAGTCAATGGATTCCTCTGGATCTCAATTGTTCAGTTCCCCTGTAATAGGCATCATAAGTGGCCAACCTATAGCACACATGCCACAGGTGGCATGGGCAGCCTCTTTGTGGCACACAGCAGATCAGGAAGGGGATTGGCAGCAGAGTGGCAGATAAGACAAGGAGCGGAAAGCAGAGCGGCAGGTCAGGCAGAGGAAGGGGAGAAGAGTGCCACTAGGGGAGAGGATTCAGGGCTAATATGTAGCACATCTGCCAAAAAGATTGCCCTTTCTGACTGATGTACATGCTCCTATAGTAAGTTTATATATTAGAAAGATACAGGGAATAACTAAAGAGTATTGAAAGAAGAAGGGAACATTATAGGCTTGTAGAATGAGGCTTGCTAGCTTTTATGACAGCTTTTAATACCTTGGAATTATTAGAAACAAAATACAGGTCGTCCTGGAGTTAGTTATTAAAACAGCTTCAGGCAAGTGCCTCAACAAGTTAGGGAAATGGGCTGGACAGTTCACTGCTATTAAGGGCAATAGCTTGAATCTCGATGGCAGACATCAACTCATGCAATATGCATATGATAAACATTACACTTTTAAATTTCCAAGCAATAATCAAGGACAATTTGAATACGGCAAGTAAAGTGTAACCACCATGCCTTTCCTCCCACCCCACTGCTCTGCTATTCTTACACTACAGGAAATAAGTTACAGGTGCTGTTAGAGTAAGAACACTTAAAAGGGCCTCAGTAATTTCTTCTGGCTTTAAAAATTTATGGGGAGGGGGCGAAGGTTCCTTACGTTGCATATCCAAAAACAATATTAGCTGTAACCTTCAGGGCATCCAAGATCAGAATGGTATCATCATATTCATTTCTACAATGAGAAACAGACAAATGAGAAGGTGAAGCTGACAAAAAATAATAGCAACATAACTTCACAGTCATACAAGTGGATAACAGCATACATTAGACACACAGGGGTAATCATTTTACAACCTCTCAGAATGAAACCATTGACAGACACAGAATTAACTACATCAGTGCTTTTATATAAATGATACCTTTAAATGAACAGTACTTAAAAGAGACCAGAGCCAAATGTTACGCATCATCTCCTCACAGGCACATAATGTTAGTTGCTACTGAATATGACTAAAAGCCTACCAAAAAGAGAGTCTTCAATTCCCAGTAAAACTGTCGGTCATTTCACCTAATGAAATATTCGTGGGTTCTCTTCAGAAACATAGTTCCAGCCAGGTTGAGATGTGAAAAATCAATCAAATATTTTGATGAATACTTTACACTTGGCCAGAGGAATCTGGAGTTTAATTGAGCCACTGGTATTTCATTTGCAAAGAAGGCTGATGGGCCATGTTCATTGCTTTAATGCTCACATGCGTTTCTAGCCTCCTCCCCATTCCAAAAGCAGAGCTGGTTCCTAGGTGGACCCACTTCTTTTTCCACCAGTAAACTTGTGGCTATAAAACAGCTAAGCTTAGAGCAGGGGGCAACAACCCCTGGCACATGTGCAGAGTGTGGCACGTGAGGCCATTTTGCTTGGCATGCTGTGGCCAGCCCTGGCTCTGGGAAGCTGCTGCCAGCAATGAAGCCCAGGCTACTGCGAGCAGGGCTTGTAGTGTCCCAGCTGCCTACTGGGAGCAGCCTGGGGTCCCAGATGGCAGCAGCTCCCCAGAGCCAGGGCGGCTGCAGCCGGGAGGCTCCCAACAGCTGTGCTGGGCTCCAGCACCAGGTCCGCATCGGGGCAAGCAGGCAGTGGGGGCGGGACCTGAGGCAGCGCAGCCCTGGTCTCTCCCCCGCTTCTGGCTCGGAGGTGATGGGCCTGGCACAGCTGTTTGGAGCCTCCCAGCTGCTGCCGCCCCGGGAAGCAGCTGCCAGCTGGGACCCCGGGCTGTTCCCAGCAGGCAGCAGCAAGACCTGCTCAGAGCAGCCCAGGCTCCAGCAGCTACCCAGAGCCAGGGTAGCTGCTGGCAGCCACAGAGGCCGGGCTGGGGGGCAGGGGCTTTGGGTGGGGGGCAATGTCAGACCAACATGGTGGCCTTCTATGATCAGATCACCAAATCCTTAGACGCAGGGGTAGCAGTGGACATAGACTTCCTGGACTTTCGGAAGGCCTTCGACACTGTCTCTCACCCTGGTCTCATTAAGAAACTGGGGGACTGTGGTGTCGACACCCACACAGTCAATTGGGTCACCAACTGGCTGGAGGGCCGCACCCAGAGAG